TGAGATGCCATCACTAGGACACTTGGGTATCCCCTAGAGCTGTGAGCTGCCCTGCAGGATGCAAACCTGTCCCATAGCACCTCTGGTTTATCTTAAAGCCCCATGGAGAATGTAAAGCCTCAACATGTGAGGGAAGTGTTATTTGGTTGATGAAAGGAGCCACCTGTGTTTCATCGACTACAAGTGGGGTGCTGAGACCCAGAGAAAGAGAGAAACCTTTAGTGGTCTGCAGTGGATCCCTTTGCTCTCAGCAATGTCTGATGTTTTTCCAGGGTAACATGGGAGTGTGACCACCCTCCATCTGAGAGAAGTGCCAGCCCAGGGCAACTGGGAGCAGAAGAGAAGAACAGACCAGCTCCCCTCACTCTGCACTAAGCCACAGGCAATCCTCCTGTCTTGCAGGACTCTGTTGTCCCCAAGGGCGACAGAAATGCTGAGGGGTTCTGACATCCAAGAACACCCTCCTCCTGAGATGAGGGCGGCTGTTCAAAACCCTACGTCTCTCCAACTGCCTTCTGTCGTCCTGGTTCTTCAGTACTGGAAGTGCAGATGCTCACAAGCCCTTCCGTGTTAGGAGCAGTTTAATGTGCAAAAGTCAAACACCAGGTCCATGAACACAGTGCTGCAGGGCTGGGCTGACTCCTCAGCACGCAGCAGGCAGAGGCCCTGCTCCTCACAGCACGTTCAGCCTCCACTTACCAGGGCCACAGCTGTTGATTTGAGGAAGGTCTACAAAAGGCAAAGGAGACGTGTGAAGCAGGAAGAGGGTGTGTGAGAAATGGCTTCAATTTTTCAGAGAGAAATCTCCCCTAATTTGTCACTGTCTTTTCCTCCTTGGACAGAGCCTCATGCCCACAGACATTGTCTAATGACATCTCCATCACTAAGTTCCTCCTGCTGCATTCGCAGTCACGGGAGAGCTTCAGCTCTTGCACCTCTAGATTTTGCAGGGCATCTACCTGGCTGCATTGCTGGGAATTGCCCTCATCATCAACGTCGTAGCTTGCGACCATCACCTCCACATGTCCATGTACTTCTTCCTCCAAATCTCTCCCTCCTTGACCTGGGCTTCGTCTCCACCACTGCCCCCAAATCCATGGCCAACTCAGTCTGGGTCACCAGAAGCATCTCCTGTCCTGGATGTGCTGCACAGTTCTTGCTTTCTTTTCTTCATCTCTGCTGAATGAAGGCATGAATCGCCTCCTTGGCAGAGGGACCCCTGATGAGGGAAAACTCCTGACCACTCATCTGTTTGTGCCTGTGCTGCCTCCATTAACAGGAGGATTGGGGAATTTCTCCTTTTTTCCCCTCCTCTGCATGCTGCCTTTGTTCCCAGCTAAGGTGGGAGCTCCGTGCAATGGTGTTTGCAGGGCTCAGGGAGGCAACTCCCCATTCAGGACATGGGATCTTCTACACATTCCCTTATTTCCCCAGGGTTCCTGCTTGGCTGCAGGCTGTCTTCCAGAAGGGCACAGGTCTTACCTGCCATCTCTGTGTCACCTTGCAGCCCCTCAGTGGTGAGGCCGTGGAAATGCTGCTGGTAGGCTGTGTGCAAGCAGCTCTGATGAGCCCTCTGTGTCCCTGGCATGGAGGGGAGAGCTGAGCTCCTCCTCGGGTAGGATGAGACAGTATGAAGAGTTTGGAGATCTGCCCTTGGCGACTGGATTCACCTGTTCTCAGTATTGTCCAGCTTCTTCTCAGGGGAACCTCTGAGTGCAATCACCCTGCAGATCAGAGAGGTGACATCTTAGGGCAGCTGAGACCAGGGCTGAGTGACAGACCAACTGTCCTCACTCTGCATGAAGGGATAGTGCTTTTGCTTCAGAGGATCCACAAGGTTTTTCTTGGAGACAAGGAGAAATGCCAAGTATTTCTGCCTTTAAAATACCATGCACAGTGGTGGGCCAACTAGAACCAAAGAACGAAAACCAGGCTGTGCAGCTCAGTGAACTGGGAGTGACAGTGCTGAAAAAGCTCTTTAATATCACAGGTGGATTTCTATCTTGTTAGGGCAGGACAGATTCCCTCAGAGTCCACAGGACAGCCCCCTGCTCTCTGGGGCATCCTCAGCCAGCACCCACCAGAGTTCATAGCCAAAGTTATCTGAAAGGGGAGAGGTGATCTGGGGGGTTTCCATGATAAGTGGAATAGGTTTTGCTCTGAGATGTCTACTCTAACTGGTCACTGCCTCTTCCTCCCTGGACAGCTCCAAATGCCCAGAGGAAGCAAATGTCCAACAGCAGCTCCATCACTGAATTCCTCCTCCTGGCATTCACAGACACACGGGAGCTGCAACTCTTGACCTTCTGGCTCTTCCTGGCCATCTACCTGGTTGCCCTCCTGGGCAACGGTCTCACCGTCACTGCCATAGCCTGCGACCATCTCCTCCACACCCCCATGTACTTCTTCCTCCTCAACCTCGCCCTCCTCGACCTGGGCTCCATCTCCACAACTCTGCCCAAAGCCATGGCCAATTCCCTCTGGGGCACCAGGACCATCTCCTTCGCAGGATGTGTTATACAGCTCTTTTTTTTTCTCTTTTCTATCACAACCGAATACTTCCTCCTCACTGTCATGGCCTATGACCGCTATGTTGCCATCTGCAAACCCCTGCATTATGAGACCCTCCTGGGCAACAGAGCTTGTGTCCACATGGCAGCAGCTGCCTGGGGCACTGGGATCCTCTATGCTCTCATGCACACAGCCAATACTTTTTCACTACCCATCTGCCATGGCAACACTTTGGACCAGTTCTTCTGTGAAATGCCCCAAATCCTCAAGCTGTCTTGCTCAGATTCCTATATCAGTGAAGTTGAACTAATTGTGGTTAGTGCCTGTTTAGGTTTGGTATGTTTTGCTTTCATTATGGTGTCCTATTTGCAGATCTTCAGGGCTGTGCTGAGGATCCCCTCTGAGCAGGGACGGCACAAAGCCTTTTCCATGTGCCTCCCTCACCTGGCTGTGGTTGTTCTGTTTGTCAGCACTGCAGTGTTTGCTCACCTGAAGCCCTCCTCCATCTCCTCCCCTTTTCTAAACCTGGTCGTAACTGTTCTGTACTCGGTGGTGCCTCCAGCAGTGAACCCCCTCATCTACAGCATGAGGAACCAGAAGCTCAAGGAAGCCCTATGGAAAAGGGCCCAGTGCACACTGTTCCAGTGATGATAACCTGCCTCCACTTGTCTGCACATTTCCCAGACTTTATCCTAGGTCATGAGTCTGCTTTCTTCTCCCGCGATCATCTTACTTTTAGATAATTTTCTGGGTTTATACTCCTTGCCTCGAGCCTTACCTTATTGTTTTTGACTGTTGCACAACACTACGTCAGATGTGGCCTTTCAGATTGCAGCTCTTCAATAAAAGGGGATATCCCAGGTTCAGTTCCTGAAGGCTGGGGTCTTCCTCCTAGCTGATTCCAAGAATATACCCAAGGAATACTTCTTCCATTCTCAGTGTCTCTGGAGTTAAGCTCACGGTACTATTTGGTTCACTAGACCAAATGTTCTTGATTAAAAAGCTCTCTTCATGTTGTCTCAGGGCAGCAGAGATGGTCCATGATCTCCCCATTAACTCCACAGGTGTCATGATGTATGACAGGACCAGTGTCCTATAACAGATTCTCTAAAAATGAACTGGGAGGGTTGACGAAAGGAGAGCAGGGGGACTCACCACATGCCCTGGGGTTGGAATGAGTGGAGAATCAGAAGGTGAAATACCTCAGAGGTGAAACTCCCCCAGGAGTAAAGCACTAAATCAATGTATCCACGAACCAGGGCTCTGCAGTGTCGTGGGAGTCAGGGGCGACTCAGCAGGCACAGGGGAGGGAGACGGGAGAGATGCAGGAGCTGCCTTAGGAACCCTAGGGTAGGACTGTCATGCTGTCCTTGGGAGTGGGGCTAGTGCGAACAGATGAGAGTGTAAATTCTGTCAGGGTTGGGGATCACCTACAGCATGAATTTAGGAGAGCCAAAGGAAGAAGAAAGCACCAGTGTAGAGCCAAGCTGTGGGAGTGTGCAGGGTGGAGCACTCAGCAGGGTGCTGACTGGCCACTTCCTTCTCCGGCTGTCCACCCCAGCCCTGAGGAGTGAGCTTGGCTGCATGGTCCTCTCTGTCCTACTCCAGGGTTCAGGGGTACCCAACTCCATCACTACTAGTATTTAGAAGGGAACCATTTTCCTACCCATTGCTATTACACGCACAAGTCCCACAGTTCTTGCCACAGACGGTCTCTCAGCCAAGAACATTCTGAGACACCTCCAGATAGATCAGGTGCTCATGGCTTTGTCTTGACTAATACTGAAAATCTCCATTGACTGAGATCCCACCAACTGGCCTGGGTCCTTCCTCCAGTGTTCGGCTCTGAGGGATTTCTCAATAACTCAGGTCTCTCTGCCTCCCCTTGTCCATGATGTGCTCCAGGCCCCAACCATAGTTCTGGCCTCTGTAAGACTTGCTCCAGTCTGTCAGGGTCTTTCTTGTGCTGGGCAGCAGACTAACACTGACCCAGCTGCTCACTCACTCCCTGCACTCAACAGGACAATGGGAGAAATTAAACCAGAAATGCTCAGGGGTCAAGATAAAGAAAAGGAATCACTTACCAATTAGTGTCATGGGAAAAGAAGAGTTGGCTTAGAGATGATCAATTTAACTTACTACCAATTAAAAAAGGATTTTCATTGTGAGAAATTACAAGAAAAGCATTCAAGACCATCCCCCCCACTCTGCTACTTTTTCCAGGCTGGAATTACTCCTTCCTTCCCAACTCTGCTACCCACCTAATCCCAAGACAAACAGAGAGGGATGGTGAAAGGGGGGTTACAATCAGTACAGAACATCTCTGCCGTTCTTTCTTCCTCACACTTTTTCCCTGCTCCAGGTTGGGTTCTCAGTATTTGTGGTCAAGCTTATGTCTTGTTTGTTTCTTTCTGTCGTAATTTTCTTGTTTATTCTCACAGAATCAAAGCAGTGTTGAGCTTGGAAGGTACCTCTGGATATCATCTAGCCCCATCCACCAGCTGAGGCAGAGTTAGCTAGAGCAGGGTGCTCAGGACCTTGTCTAGGTGTATTTCAAAGCCCTCCATGGATGGAGACTCAGCAGCCTCTCTGGGCAACCTCTTCCAGGGTCTGACCACTCTCAGAAACAAAAAGTATTTTCTTGATTTCAGATGGAATTTCAACTGTTTGTAGCTGTGTCCAGCACCCCTCGTCTTGTCACTGGGAACTCCTGAGAACAGTTTGGCTCCCTTGTTTTCACGCCCTACCATCAGGTATTTATACACACGAATATGATCCTGCCAAGCCCTTTCCTCCCCATGCTGAACAGTTCCAGATCTCTAAGCATTTTCTCCCATGAAAGATGCTGCAGTCCCTCAAACCTGTTTTGTGGCTCTTTGCTGGACCTGCTTTATAAGGTCAACAACTTTCTCGCACTGGGAAACCCAGCACTGGACACCGGGCTCCAGATGTGGCCTCAGCACTACTGAACAGAAGGGAAGGATCACCTCCCTTGATATGCCAGCAGCCCAGGCAGCTGTTGCCTTTTGCCATGGGGGTGCATTGCTGGCTCACGCTCATCAGCTTGTTGTCCTGCAGGACCCCAAGGTCCTTCTCTGCAGAGCTGCTATCTGGCCAGTCGGCCCCAGACGAGATGTCCACAGTGTGATTTGATCATGGGCTGTCTTCCTCCAGGGTCTTTCTCAGCAGAAACTGTTTGTTCTTCTTAGAGATAAACTTCACCTGAGTCACAGGTCCCACAGTGCTGCAGAGTCCCCTGGACAGCCCAGGCCTTTTTGTCTCTGGCCCTGGGGACTGCAGTTTTCACTCTCTTTGTGGGAATCTCAATCCTCATTATGCCGCCACCTGCCATCCACTCCAGCATGCCTCAGCTGGGAAGAAAAGCTTTCCACATGGGGCATTTCCGTGTGACAAGTCTGTCCTTGGTCCTGGTGCCACATCTGAGGTGCTGCAGCCCAAATGTGCAATAAAGCCCACAGCCTGAGGCTCAGACTGAAGGAGCCCTGTGCCATGACAGAGCTCTGGACATGAGTGGAATACGAGCTGAGGTGGAGAAGGACAGCTCCCACAACTTTCATGGCAGGTGGTCATACAATGTCATAAGGAGAGTGAAAGATGCCCTGTGTGATGACAGGACAGATCAGATACACAGAGGTTCTCTCTAGGACAGTCAACAGGTAAGGTGGGAGTTTGTGAAGACTAGTGTCAGCCCCGGCTGTACTTGCCTTGAAAATGTGGTCTCCCAGATCCCCAGGGAATTGGGGAAGGAGAGTAGCAGAGCACTGACACTGTACATCAGGGATTTAGAACATGTACTACTGAGGGCACTGGCAGGTGGGATCCCATGGGAGAAGGATCAAGGTCCTGAGACAATCCATAGACCTGCCTTCCTATCCCTGACCAGCCTTACCTGGGCCCTCCACCCACACCTCAGTCCATTGGTCCTGGAGACCATTGAACCTCATGTTCAGCCCCAGCTTCACTACCTGTCTCCAGTCCCAGCTGTAGAAACAACCTTGCCTATTCGTGGACCTTGTTGATTTGAACTTGCAGAGGCACTTCCCAGCTTTATTCTTTATGGGGTGTATAATGAAATGACACCATCATCCTCCAGCTGCCAGGCCCCAGCTGATTCATAGAGGCCTGAGGCCTTTCTGCTTCCATTCTTCCCGTCACTTGGTCAGGTTTTGGGACGAGAGGAAGGAAAAGCAGGTGAGGTTTCTGGGTGCCATTAGTGGAAAGGGGGCGGAGCAGAGCCCTCATATGTAAAAGGATCTGAAGGTTATACTAGTTCAAAACTGTTATCTTCTGTTCCTGTCTCTGAGGCTTTAAATCTTCAGGAGGAACATGGAATCTCCAAGACCCCTGCATCTCCCTCTGTTTTAGAAATGAGATTGATAGTACCCAAGTCAGGGGTCTTCTTTCAATTCTGTTTACAGGCTAAAGCACCCCATGGTCTGGAGCTATGCCCAGAAACTTACAGAAGAATCCCAGTCCTCTGGACAAGAAGCTAGATGTTTCTGGGTATCCTTGGAGGCATGGCCTACCGATAGCTCTGCTCATGAAGATGATCAAATGGCTCATCTTCATTTTTGTAAAGGTGGCTTAGATGCCTCCTTCATGTATAGATTCTCTTTATGGGTAGTGACATTGACTGAGCAACCTGATTTGACATCAGAATTGTCCCAGCTTGGATCTGGCATTGGACTACCACCTTCTTAGGATCCCTTCCACCCTGAATTGTCTTATGGGCACATGATGTGGAGATTCTGACTTCTAGCTTATTCTTGTACAGTGTGTTGCAAGGTCCAGGCTTCTCAAAGGGCTCTGGGCCCAAAAGGGACTGTTGAGGGGCCTCTAGTCCAGCCTCCAGGTTGGCCGTAACTTTGCCGAGATGAAACACGGAGATCACCAAATTTGGAGATCACAGCAACACTCCTCCTAGTCTGTTTTGTCTTTCCTAAAGATCAGCGTACAGGTCCCAAAAGGCAGTTTGTGGCTGTTGCCTCTGTTTTGTCACCGCACACTGCAGAAGAGAGCTTGGCTTCATCATCTCTGCAGGTACCTGTAGGCTCTTACTAGGATGTCTCATGCCTCCTTTAGAAGCTAGAGAGGCTCAAATTCCTCAGACTTTCCTCACAACTCGTGCTTTAGGCCCTTAGCTCCATCTTGGCAGACCTCCGCAGGACCCTCTCCTGCTTCTTAACGTTCCATTTTGAAAAGCAAGCCCACTACTTCATATAGCATCTGTGTGGGATGTTAAGCGAAATATTGATTTTCTCCTGTAACTTCATTACCACTATTCTGCCTGTTATGGAGTGTATCTGAGTGTTTCTCAGATCTTTCATGTACCTTCATTTATCATGATATAGTGATTTCTAAAATCGTCTTATTAGAAGCAGACTGTCTAGACTAAGGCCATTCCCAATTATTCTCTGGTTTTCTTCTTCCCTGAAGCTTTTTTCATTCAGATACCTCTCACCTATGGAGATGCTTTGAGCTTCAGGGAGTTAAAAGCTTGCCTGTCTTTCAGTACTCAAAAGTACATTCTAGTATTAGCAAGCCCCACTGAGGGCTGTTACTGACCAAGCCTCCCCAGGGTCTCGTTAGAGCAGATCATTGGAGGCTGTGATCGCAGGTAGGCAAAG